ATGGATACCTGCTTTGATATCTGGGTAATTTTTCTTTCCCATTTGGACTGAGATACTTTGCTTCACCTTGTTGATCAGCTTCTTTCCAACAGGATAAACATAAAGAGTTTGAGGATCAACTTCATAAATCCAGTTATTAACCATCAGGTATGTGATCTCTGTCTCTCCATCCTTTGCAAAGTGGCGGATGATGTTTCTGATGTCACTTCCTGATTTAATCAAATAACACTTTTTAAGAAGCTCTTTCACATCATCTTCTTTTGTCAACCAGTCAATTGCTCCATTTTTATCTCTTTTCCCAACAACATAGTTGTTCATGTTGAAATCGTTCAAGTCGGCTTTATCTGGTATTGGTTGGTTTGAGTGAAAGAATCCCCAACTAAGAGCTTCAAGATATTTAACATTTTGTTTTAATGTTTCAAATATTTTGTCCAAAACTTCAGGAGTTACAAAATGACTTGGTTTATCCGGCCAGCTGCTTCTGTACTTATCAAAACGTGAGTCAACTGATGAGTCTTCATTGTCTCCATTCCCCAGCAGCGCCGTCTGATTGGTGGGAACTTCCTGCCCGGTGCAGTTTCGGCGGTCGTCCCTCCTCCGGATCTCTCCGGTCGGGCCGACAGTCAGAACCAGCTTCTTGCTGTGATCTCCAGATCTCCACCGCGCTCCGTCCTGACTCAGGACGTCTCCCGTCTCCGCCACCTGGACGGCGGTCTCCCACAGGTGCAGCTCCGTCTCCAGGCCGGCTCGGTGCAGCGTCTGCAGCAGAGCTTGTGGGAAGCGGCGGTCCGATCCCGCGCCACAGGCCACCACCGCGGTGGTTTGGATCTTCTGGCCGATCCTGGAGCTGCTCTGGATGATCCTGGCCACGTCCTGGTAGCTGTACCCCGATATCCTCATCTCTCCTGAAGGCTCTCTGGCTCCGTGACCCACCAGAACCAGGCTGCTGCGTTCCGACAGAGGCGCCGCCTGACCTTTGACCTGCCGGACTCGGTGCCGGGGACGGACGGCGTGAAGCGAACTGACCGCTGGATGTTTGTGGAAGAGAGAAGCTGCAGCTGTTCTCACCACCTCATCGTCTGCTAGCATGACGATCTGCTGCTGGTCAAACTGGACCAGGGGGTCATCTGGGCTGGGGGCGGCTCTGGGGGTCCTGGGGGTTCTGGAGGTTCTGGGGGTTCTGGAAACCGGGTCGGCTTCATACAGTACTTGATCCATCTGAGGGTTCTGCTGGTCGGGTTCTGACCCACAGACTATCTGGTTGTAGAGCTTTCTGCTGACCGGGACACGATGCTGCGGTTCCGACCCGTTTTCCTGCCTGGTGTTTCTGTCTGATGGGTCGGTGCTGCGGGTCGGAACCAGAACTTCCTGTGTGGAGCAGGGAGAGACCTCTGCAGCGCTTTGCAGCCGGTCCGCCATCGTCTGCTGGTCAGAACCAACCAAGGAGGCGTCCAGAACCTGGAAACCAAACAAGCTCTGGTCAGAACACAGGAAGGTTCTGCTGCGGTTCTGGACGGGATAAACCATCAGGCAAAAACACAAAACATTTACATAAAATAATTAATAATATATTTATTTTTGTAAAAACTTACAGAAACATTCGTTGTGAATTTTGCTGCATAAACAAACTGGTTGTCGTTGTGCTGCAGCTGTTTGTTGATCAAACTGGAAGGAAAAGATAAAACATGATGGATTTACATGAATATATTAAAATACCTTGTTTTTAAGTTCTTTTTGTATTTTGTCTAAATTAAGGAAAATTATCCTTTAAAATGGGAAGATCATAAACTATATTTGCTGCCACCTACAGGAATTTGACAGTCATAGCAGGTTCAGTGTAAATAAACTGTTTTATAAATTATTGTCGTACAGAAACAGGATTAATATGAAACTGAGAGAATAAGAACAGCTGATAAAAACAATCAGAACACGTTTACCTGTCATGTTTCTATAATTTAAACTCTGAGATTAAGTTTTATTAATATTCTCTAATTCCACACGTAAAATGTTTGTTTTCTATTCTAAATAGTAAAAGCTGACATAATGAATGAGGCAAATGGAAAATGTAAATAAAGTGCTGAACGTCTTAACGACTGGAACAGGAAGTGCAGCTAGCTTAGCAGCTGCTACCGAAGAGAAGGTCAGAGGTCACTTGTGTTTCTTTGGTTCTGACTGATCCAAAGTGTTGGAATAAATAATTCTGTTTTCCTCTTTCTCTTCTAGTGTGTGTGTGTGTGTGTGTACATGGATGCACACACAGCTCAGGTTAGAGGAAGTGACACATTCAGACAGAAGCTGTTGTCAGGCGCCATCTTGCTGTGTTTTCCCATAAGCAGACATGGTGATGGACCAGTTCTTCTGCATTTTGGTCTAAATAAATGGATGATTTTAACTCTGATTCTTCTGAACCTTTAAGAATCTCACTGGAGAAACAATAATCTCCACAAAAGTCACACAAAGCAGCTTTCAGATGGAGAGACATTAATGTGGTCGTTATTATAAACTCAGATCATTAGGCACCATTAACATCCCATAATAATCCACCAACATCTCTGGCTAACAACCAAGCTAATCCTTTCAAAGTAAAACATTCGGACTGACTTCCTCTCACTCTTCATCTCATCAGATTAAAACTGGAACTAAGACTCGAGTCCAAGTCTCCAGTCTGAGCAACGAGTTTCAGTGCAAAGTCTTGATTTTTGTGACTTGAATGCAACTGGAGAAGCTTGAACCCCCATGTTGTTAGCATTTGCTAACATTTGGTTACCACACCTTGGTGATTCTCCCTGCCTGCATGCCTATGTGGGCCCCATCTGGGGAAAGGGAGGCCCCATGTGGGACCCATCTGGTCTGCCCTTCTTTTCCTCATATGGGGCCCACCTGGGCATGCTGGCGGGGTATAATACAGATTTCTGGTCAAAATAATCATAAAAAATTCTCAAATATCATTTATAGCTTGAATAACCTGTTTCTGTTCTGAGTCCCAATTGATTATGGTTCTGATTAATATTTGGTTCAGCACAGGAACAGAACCTGATCAGAACCAGACCTCCTGCTCATAGATGTTGTTTCTAGGAGTTCTATTGATCTTTATGAGTGAATAACATCAGCTAGTGTTAGCTCCTCCTACCTGATGAATGATGTTAGCTAGCATTAGCTCCTCCTACCTGACTGAATTTTAGCTAGCGTTACCTCCTCCTACCTGACTAAATGTTAGCTAGCGTTAGCTCCTCCTACCTGATGAATGATGTTAGCTAGCATTAGCTCCTCCTACCTGACTGAATTTTAGCTAGCGTTAGCTCCTCCTACCTGACTAAATGTTAGCTAGACTTAGCTCCTCCTACCTGATGAATGATGTTAGCTAGCATTAGCTCCTCCTACCTGACTGAATGTTAGCTAGCGTTAGCTCCTCCTACCTGACTGAATGTTAGCTAGAGTTAGCTCCTCCTACCTGATGAATGATGTTAGCTAGCATTAGCTCCTCCTACCTGATGAATGATGTTAGCTAGCGTTAGCTCCTCCTACCTGACTGAATGTTAGCTAGAGTTAGCTCCTCCTACCTGATGAATGATGTTAGCTAGCATTAGCTCCTCCTACCTGAGTGAATGTTAGCTAGAGTTAGCTCCTCCTACCTGAGTGAATGTTAGCTAGAGTTAGCTCCTCCTACCTGATGAATGATGTTAGCTAGCATTAGCTCCTCCTACCTGAGTGAATGTTAGCTAGCGTTAGCTCCTCCTACCTGATGAATGATGTTAGCTAGCATTAGCTCCTCCTACCTGATG